TATTATTATTATTATTATTTTACAAGAGATATGAGATAAATTAATTACAAATAAAGGAAACAATTATAAACTAATTTTGATTAAAAATTAAAATAATAAATTTTTAACATGTATCTTAAGAATATCTTTTTAATAGTAATTGTTATAGAAAAATAAAAAATTAACATTTATTTAATTAAATCCAATTAACATGATTTACATAGCATATATGATGAAATTAATGTCAAATTTTATTATTTTTATTACTAATTAATCTTAAAATGTATATTAATTACACCCTTTAGAAAAGTCCTTAAAACCAACCAAGCAACTAAAAATACATTAAACAAATTAAGTAACAAACCAATTGATTGAAAAAATCCCATTCAACAAAGTTTCACATGTTTATTTTTTTATTTAAACCATATATTTCTATATTTAGTTTACAACATAACTTAAATTAGTTGACAAAAGAGCACCTGGAATATATTCCCTTAATATAATATAATTTACTAAAATTATAATGTAGGGTTTCATCCTTTACCTCAAAGCTTACAATCCAATCCATGTTTCCAAAATAATTTATAAATATAAATTGTTGAAAAGAATTTGAAAAATATGAGCATCCAATGAGACTTAGAATAAACACCCCCTCCCCCTCCTCCCCAAAAATAAAAAATAAAAAATACAGAGGAGAAAAAGGAATTAAAAGTAGAAAGCAATTGGCCGCGTATTAGTTGCTGTGACTTAATCTTTAGTCAATGGAGTTTAGTAAGATTTAGGAGAGACATTGAAAGGATCGTCGCAACTTCCATCGGGTGAGACACATTTTTCATGACTTCATTAATTTTCAGGCTCAGTCCCTAATTTTCTCGTGCCCAAATTTGTCAAAACGTGTGCATTTAATCAACATTTCTGCTTTTAGTTTTGACTTTCAAACAATCTTGAAAACCTGTTGGAGAATCTAATTAAGACCTCCCATTGACCAGTCACTGATGCAATACTCCATTGGTTGCAAAATGCAAGACTTTTAAACCTTTTCTATACGTATTTTTAGATTATTTTTTAATAACATATAAATAATAATTAATTATATTTTTATTAAATAAAATTTTAACATGACTTACGAATTAAAAAATATCAATTATTATTAATATATTGTAAAAAATTTATTGTCTAAAATTACTTGTAAAAAAATAAACAATTTATGTTTTGAAATAAAGAGAGTAATATTTTTCCTCTACCATCTTTAATTAAATAATCCTTTAAAAAAATACAATGAGGTTGTTTTTAGATTAATTTTTATGCATTGCCTCTACTTTATTCAAGTAAATTTTTTTTTTCTTTTTTGAGTGCTTATTTCTAAAATTTAAACTTTGAATCTAACATATAAAATAATACTTACTAATTAAGCAATCAATCTAACTTGTAAGTTATAACCCTCTTTTGTTTGTTGAGCTATAAATAAGTTGGGTTATACCTACTATGACATTATTCAAATCTACTAATCAGAAATTCTCTAATTTAAGCATGAATAATTTGATTATTCATTAATAGACACATATATTATTTTTGTATATACCATACACAATTATTAAAAGAATATAAGAATGTGACGACATAGATAGATATAGGCTTCATCTAATAGCATTGTACACAAACTATTTTCACATTACATTTTATTTTAAACTATAAATTTATAATTTTAATTAATTTTTATATTTTTTAAATTAATAAAAATCTTAAAAACTTTTTCAATGGCAGCCACAACATAATACTGATTAATAAAGTCATAATCTTTAATTAAGGTTCAAAGTATTAGTTATCAAGTCAACAAACCCTCAAATTAACAAGCCACCACATAGCTTTACACTATACAGATGAGAAGACTCATGGCCTCCAGGGGGAGATGAATTGGGCCCAATTAGGAATAAATAAGTTGTCATTACTAGTACTCGCCAAACGCAAATATCGTCATTTTTTGACAAGCCATGCTTTTAAACAATGATTAAGAGAAGAAAAGTGATTTTTTATGTTGAAAAGTCACAAAAGAGCTCATAAGCTTCAAATTCTTTCATTATTAAATAACTATAGTTGATGGATACAATTAGCAGATTGATTCAGCTAATGCATAAAGATGCCAAAGAATGACCACGTACGTAGTGCAAGAACCTAGTGCCCCAACTTTTTTTTTTTTTTTTGAATAATTTTGTAATGGATTGGATTTGAACCGTTATTTGAAAGAAAAAAGAAACATTTAAACGTGACTTAACGTCATTAGGCTCGAAGGCCTAAGTGCATGGCCCCAACTAATTAACAAAATAATTATCTTAGTTATTCATCAAATAATTAAATGATTGTTATTGTTTGTGATTTTTTATCTTCAAAATTTTAAAAATAAAATATTTTTAATTATTTTAATTTATTATCACGTGTTTTTTCTGTCTCCTACAGCAATTATTGACTAACTTTAGTGAAAGAGAGTAACAATAAAATAGTAACTTAACGCATCATTGCTCATCACGCAGCTCCAATAATGCAAAAGCAATGGAGATGGAAAGTGAAGGACCTGAAAGTGAAAGAGATTAGAAAAAAAAAAAGGACAAAAAGACTAAAAGAAGGAACAGAGAGACTAAAAAGCGAGAGAACAGATAATAAAGGGGCTTTTGTTTATAAACAATTAAAACTAAGGGCATTAAAATATTACCGTGGGCGGTAGTAGCTTGCACGTGATTCACATTCCATTTATTGAGTACTGACAAAGAAAACCGAGTGGGACTGACGTGCCACGACTCCATTGTATTCATGTCTCAGCCGCCGAGTAAATTGTTCCTCGGACTCTTCCTGGTTCTTCCACTTTGGCGGCGGTGCTGTTCCTGCAACACGCTCTTGCATTATTGGAGGCTTCAGTGTTTGGGGAAGGAAACATTTGTCTGTCTAGAAAAGCT